ATTTGACTGAAACAAGCTAATGAGAGCACCACTTGATTTTCATTGTAGTTCCAGGAGCACTACAGCAATTCATTCAAGTTTAATCATTTTCATAACCAAAGATACAGTGGTTAATAAGTAACAACGTTTTCCAGTTCTGCTTTATAACTGACCTGCTTCAAAATAACAATCCAGAGCTGGAGTTGCATTCCCTACGATTCTTCCTCCCTGGCCAGAAGCTTCACTCTATGGTATGTTAAGACAAACTCTAAGACAAACTCGGGGAGGAGCCTGCACACTTGGCATGTGAACCTGCGATGACATATTTCCCTTGGACTGAGGGCAGTTCTATCCAAATACCCTTGCATTTTGTATCTACAAGCTATTACATACTCCTATTGTTTCCCTGCAGTTTAATCGTTCTTAATTATAGGACAGAAAGCGTATGAGTGTAACTGCTTGGTCTTGTTGTGTCTATAGTCATTTAAAATTTATTTATGAAATGGTTTGGTTAAAAAAAACAGCACACAAGACAACCACCACAAGAACAACAACGGTAACAGCTTCCAGCTGCAGCAGTTTTCATTTTTATAAACTTTCTCATTAAAAAAAATTCAACAGCAAATGGGGAATATTTTGAATTACTGAAACGTGTAAAATTGACAAACATTTGTAAAGATTAATACCATGGGCTTCAGAGAACAGTACGAGATAAAAAGAGTGTAAAATACCAGATTTCCTTCCCTGCTCTTGGTAAAGAAGCTCGGTTCTCATGTAATATGTAATTATGCTCCTACCCAGGAGCATAATCCACAGAGAAGGATGCGGGACACATTATAAAGGAACGCAAAACAGTACTTGATGTACTGTGCGCAGCTGGGGCCAAGGTACAATGATGGTACATCAGAGGAAAAGTATTATAGGTCCTGAAATACGAGGCGTGCCCAACCCCCATTTTCTCTTGTAGCTTTCCCTGTAACAAACAAAACTTTTACCTTGTGAAGCTGCCACAGAAACAGGAGGCAGCTGCAGAGAAGAAAAACCGATGCTTCCGTTCAGCAGCTGGCCATTTGTTCCTGAATTAGGGATCTGGACAATGCCATACTGGTTTATTTGGACAGGAGCAGTAAAAGTAACTACAGAGCCTCCATCTTGGGAAGCAACAGTTTCTACGCTTTCCCTTTTCACTTCTGAGCTTGGTATCAATCCTGGGAATGAGACCGGTATGTTGCTGGGGCTGAACGTGGCGGCTGCTGCTGTGTTAGGAACTGAAGCCTGAAGGAGTTTGAAGTCCTTAACATCTTCTGAAGATGATGACAATATGTCAGTAATGGATACCCCGTTGCTCACAACGCTCGAAGTGGTTTTGGGTGAATTTAAAGTTACTGTCTGGGAAGCCCCCATGCTGAGTCCATTGAGAATTACACCATTGGGTCCCTGAAGAAAAGAGCTACCATTGAGAAAGACAGGAGAAGTACTGGCAGGCACAAGGTTTCCATTCAACAAGACACCAGATGAGCTCAAGGCTATTTTAGTGTTTCCAAGCTGCTGCATGTACACAGGCTCCATGTGGCTGGGAAGGCTGAGGCTGGTAACTCCATCGGACGAGCTGGAGAGCGGATGTGGAGATAAATCCTCCTGCCCCTTACTGGATTCATCTTCCGTGCTAGGGTTGCCGTCTGACTCGCTAGGGGAAGAGATGGAGAGATGACATTGCATTACCAGGGCACACCAGTGAGCTCTGGACCAAAGGAGACGCCTTGCTTCGATACGGGTCAGGGGAGTTTGTCCAAATCATTTTTTATTTTCTATGCTTTGCCTCAAAGCGTGTTTTAAAAGCAGCCTGAGATCGAGGCAAGGATTTCTTAGACCAGAACACACCAAAACCGCCCACCGGCCGGCGTGAAACTTTACAGACTGCATTACAGCCTCGTAAACAGACCCCCCCTTGGCCGCCCTGCTACCCCAAACAACCTGGGGGCGACTGCCTCGGGCCCACCACCCCAAGAAAGGGGGCTGCACGTGTGAGAGCAACCCGGCGGCCCCGGGAGCAGCCATTTGGGAACTTGCTCCGTGGCAGCCTGGGGAGGTAGAGGCAGGCCAGGAAGCTCCAGCCCGACCCTCCCGAGCTCCGCAGGCAGCGCCGGAGGCCCACGGGCGGCGGGGGAGGCCCTGCCTCAGCCAAGGGGGGGGCTGAGGGGGACCCGCAGAGCCCCTCCTGCCGGAGCAGCGCCTATTTTGTTTTTTTTTTTTTTGCTGACTTGTCCGCCCGGGCTCGCATTTTTTTGGCTGCTCCCTCCCTTCCCCCTCCGCCCTTTGATGTGTCCCGAGGAGAGGGGGCCGCGGCTGCACAATCGCGCCCTTGGTTGAGAAATGCCTTGGGGCCCTTCTCGCTGCTGCCGCTGCCTTTTTTTTTTTTTTTGCATTTTTTTTTTCTTCTCCCTTCTCTTTCCTCCTCCTTTCCCCGCTCTTTTCTTTCTCTTTCTCCCTCCCCTCCGAGGGAGGGCAGAGCCGCGGAGGTCACCTCCACCTGCCCGCCTCAGCCCTGGCCGCTCCGACTACCGACACCGGGGAGAGGGAGCGGGGGGGGGGGGCACAGGGATAAAAGTTTCCCCTTCCCCGAGCCGAACCGGGAGAAGCTCCCGATCCCCAGGGGGGGCTGCTCGGAGGCCCCGAGGCCCATTTCGGTTTCTCTCAGACCGGGCCCGGCCCCGTTTTTCCTCACCCCCCCCCCCCCCAACCCCCGGCTCTTGAAACCCGAGCCCGGCCCGCTCCCGAGTCAGGTTTCAAAACAGAGCGGGACCCCACACCCCCGCGCGTCAATGATTAACTCTGTCAGGCGCAATCGTTAAATAAAAACAACGAGGAAACAAACAGCGTGTGTGTGTATGTGTATGTGTGTGTGTCCCTCTTCTCCTCGTCCTTCCACACCCCCCCCAGGGGCTGGAGGGGGGGGGGCCCGGAGGAGAAGTTCTCCTTGTGGCCGCCTCCCCGCGGGGCTGGGCGGGCGTGGGGGGGAGCGGGGAGGGGGGGAAGGAGGGGAGGCCGGGGCACGGCGAAGGTAAGCGCCATGTTTGCGAAGGGAAGAAAGAGCCGGGAAAAGGGAAGGCGGCGAGATGGGGGGCGGGGAAGTGAAGGGGGGAAAAAAAGAAAAAAAAAAAAAAAAGAAAGAAAAAAGTTTGCGCTCACCTCTTGGACTGCGTCTCCGAAGGGTTGCGGTCCCGCTGCCTGCGGTTCTTGAACCAGTTGCTGACCTGGGTGAGGGACAGCCCGGTGATCTTGGCCAGGTTGCGCTTCTCGGCCGGCGAGGGGTAGCGGTTCTGCTTGTAGAGCTCCTTGAGCGCGTTGCGGGACTTCTCCTTGAAGCAGTACACCGTCTCCTCGCCGTCCCAGATCGTCCTGGGCAGAGGGTATTTCCTCCGCAGCCTGTACTTGTCCACCGCCCCCAGGGGTCTGCCCCGGGCTCGCTCCGCCTCGGTGTAGCGAGCTTTGTACCAGAGCTCCTGCAGCAGCGGGTGGTTGGACGAGTCGAAGTTGTGGCTCTCCAGGATGCTGTAGAGCTCGGCGTAGATGCCCTGGTGGAAAGCCACCAGCGCCCGGGCTTTCATCAGGCTCTCGTTGCCACGTAGCAGATCGCTTGGGGGCAAAGACCACAGGAACCTGGCCAGGCGGTCCAGGTTCCCACCTTGCTGCAGCGCCTCGCACACGCAGGCGACGTGGTCCGGGGAGAAAGCCAGGGGGGTCTGCGAGGAAGACGACGAGGAGGACGACGAGGACGAGGAGGAGGACGACGAGGAGGAGGAGGAGGAGGATGAGGAAGGCGAGGCGGCGGCCGCAGCGTGGTGGTTCCTGGCCAGGAGCTCGGTGTGGAGCAGGACCTGCTCGGCGGCCGCCTCCTCCCCGCCGTGCTCCATGGGGAACGGGGCGGCGGCGGCGGCGGGGGGGGGCGGCGGCGCCGCGGGGTTCAGGGCTCCCGCCGCCGCCCCGTCGGGGGGCACGGCTTCGGAGAGCATTTCCATCACATTTTCCTGCTTGATCTCCACCGCGCTCGTGATCTCGGCCGTGGGGGAGGCAGAAGACATGGTTTGTTTTCCTTTTTTTTTTTTTTTTCTCCTCTCCCCCCCTTTTTTTTTTTTTTTTTCCTCTTTGCAAAGTCCACTCCTCCTCCTCCTCCTCCTCCACCTCCTCCTCCTCCTTTCGGCCGGCTGCTAGCCGATCAGGTTTCCTCCCGGCCACGCACCGACCATTAACGACCGCTGCCGTGGCCAAGCCGTGCAATCGGGCTCCGCTCCGCCGCTCCCCCCAGCGTGACTCCCGGCCCCGCCGCAACACTATAAGGCCCCGCCGCCCGCTGCCCCGGCCGCGCCCGCCCATTGGCTGAGCCGCCGCCAGGGGGCGGGGCCTCCCGCGTCCCCATGGCAACCGTCAATCAAACGGCCCCGCTCCCCCCTCCCTCCTCCTCCCCCCCCTCCCTTCTCCCTCCTCCCTCCTCCTCCTCACGGGCACCTCCACCTGGAGCCCCGCGGGCGGAGCGAGGGAGAAGGCGTTAAAAAGGAGTGAAAAGGGAGAAGAAACGGAATAATAATTAAAAAAAAAGGACTAAAAGAAATGAGAAATAAAAAAATACAAGAATAATAAAGATGTGGAACCGCTCGGGGAGATGAAAAGCCAGGGCGCCTCAGGCGGCGCTGCCCCGCCGGGCAGGGGCTCGCCTCAGCCCGCTGCTGGCTGCCCCTTCACCCCTTCACCCCTTCACCCCCTTCACGCCCCGTTATCCCCCATTCCCCTCCCGCTTCCCCCCCCCCACCATTACACCCGGAGCTGCCCCGCCTGGCCCCGTCCCAGCCGTGCGGGGCAGGTGCTGCCCGCGGCGGCTCGTACCTGCTCGGCCCGGCCCGGCGGGGTTGCTGGGGGCCGGGGAAGGCGAGGCAAGGCCGGGCAGAGCCGGGCCGAGCCGGGCGGAACGCGCTAGGGAGGCGGGAGGGGCCGGCGGGGCCCTTTGGTAGCGGCACCGGGCGGCGGAAGGCGGAAGGGAAGGAGCTGAGGGGGTGTGGGGGGAAGGGGGGGGGAGGCGGCGGCGGCCATGGACGACCAGGGCTGCCCGCGGTGTAAAACCACCAAGTACCGCAACCCGTCCCTCAAGCTCATGGTCAACGTCTGCGGACACACGCTGTGAGTGCCCGGCCGCGGGGCTGCCTCACGGAGCGGGGCACAGCCCGATGGGGTCCGGCTGGGAGCCGCTGCCGGGCCCGGGGGGGAGGTTGTGAGGGGTTTGTGAGGGGCTGAGGGGGCTGTGGGGGGCTGTGAGGGGCTGTGGAGGGCGTTAAGGAGCTGTGGGGTTTGTGAAGGGTTTATGGGGGACGGTGAGGTGCTGTGAGGGGTTTGTGAGGGGCGTTGGGGGGCTGTGAGGGGCGTTGAGGGGCTGTGAGGAGCATTGGGGGACTGTGAGGGGCTGTGAGGCATCTGTGGGGGTTATTGAGGGGCTGTGGGGGGCGTTGAAGAGCGTTGAGGGCTCTGTGAGGGGTTTGTGGGGGTCTGTGAGGGGTTTATGGGGGGCGTTGAGGTGCTGTGAGGGGTTTGTGAGGGGTTTGTGAGGGTCTGTGAGACTCAGGAAACACTGCAGAGTGTGAGGGTGCAGGATCAAGAAAGAAAGATAAAAGCTTCATGGTTAAACAAATGCTGTGTTCGGTGCTGTGCTTGGATAATTAAGAAATCCTAATCTATCTACCTGTATCCTTACCGGTGCGTCAGTTCTCCTAACGAATGGTGCTCTCTCTGAAAGGTTGGTGCAGCTTTAAATATTGGAGAAGCCTCTTCTGAGCCAGTGCCGCCTGCGTTGTTTGCTCCTTATCTCTTGTAGCAGCAGGGTTGTGAGCGCTTCTTTTTGCTTTTCCCCAAAGATGAGCGCTTGTATCAGCTGCAGCCAGCAGTGGGAATTAGCTCAGTAACGTGTCTGCACTCATTCACCTTTGGATCTGGAGATCTTTCTGCTTTTCCATGTAAATTGTAAAGGTGCTGTTCAAGTTCTTTCTAGGTTTATGTGATAGAAGCCTCCCCCTGCAGTAGCAGCCCTTTCTTTTTGTTGTCTCTTCGTCTTTCCCATGACATTTATGTTGAGATGCTTGTTTTTAAACCACGCGTGAATTACATTTAAAAGACAGCCTGAAACCTTTACTTAACCCTATGTGCTCATCCACTGTAAGCGATCAGCAAGAAGGAACTGGATTGTAACATAGAGGATGTGCGTATGTATATACAGTTGTGAAATAAAGGGTTAGCTTTAATGCAGTTCCCCAATCCTGTCCTCTGTGGCCACGAAGCACTTGCACTGCCGCCAGGGAAGGCACGAGGGAGAGCAGCAGATGCTCCCCGGGTCGTGCTGTTGTAGGAGGGGAGCAGCAGGAGTGCCCCTTTGGTGGCAGCGGTGCTGGCTGTGTGGAAGTGCAGCGTTAGCTGGACTTCAAAAGCTAACAGCCACGTTGGGGCAAGGCTGTGCAGTTTTAAAATGCTGTTTCTATCTTCTGTTCCAGCGAAGATCAAAGGACTAGTGGTCTTCGTGATCTTCTGCTTTCAAGCTCCTCCAGAGCCACTTCCAGCAGAGGACAGCATGTTTCAGTTTGCTCTCCTTCTTTGGTTCTCAGTGTTTTCTTTTGTAGCTGAGCTTTGCTTGAGAAAATGAGTCATATTTTGTGCTTTTCTGGGTCCAGCTGCTGACATTTTCTTAGGGACTGATGTCCCTGCCTTGCTTTCCTTGTTTCTTCCCAGACTGCCTCTGCTCACCCCAGCTCTTGTTGTTTGCACTTTGGTGTTTGGAAGTGTTTTGTCCAAGGCCAGAGCTGGCCTGAATCTGTGCGGCCCTGGCTTGGGCCAGCCCAGGTATCTCTATAGGGTGCTCGCCAGGAGAGGTCTGTGCAGGGCCAGACAGACCCTCCCTGGATTTGGTGATGTCTGTTAGTCCCCCTGTCACCTCCCAGCAAAGGGGGACTCTGCAGCAGGGAACCACAGCTTTAAAGCTCCACTTTACCCTTAAGGGTAGCGTTGAAGTCACTGCGTGAGTAGGATTTCTGGATTTCTTTACCTTCTTTGAAATCAAGGGCTCTCCGTCTTGATGTGGTTCAAGCGGGTCGCTTTCCCCCTGAAATATCCTTTTAATAACGCCTTTAACGTGTTTTTATTATTACTTCCATATGATCTTACAAAGCCTCCATACTGGAAGTCATTTCTTGGTAACGGCCAGTGTGTTCTCATAATAACCGATCTCGAAGCTGGAAGCTCAGTGGAGACATCTGCAAGTGAAGTATGAGGGGAAAAAGGAGGCAATTGGCATTTGTCCTTTCATAAATTTACCACGTTTCTGCCACAGGGAAAGAATGTCTAGCTTATTTTCAAAGCAAATGAGCCAACATAAATTTCTGATGGGGATTTATCCTTTTTATTAATAGTTTGCTCTTCTTACAGTTGAAAATACTTCTCCCAATTCTTAATCTAAATTTCTTCACTATAACTTAAGCATATAAGAATCCTAACATGCATTTTACCTTGTGAAGTGTTTGTTATGCCTCTTTTACAGGAACATTTTGTATGCTTTGGGGCTTTTCTCTTTGGCGTTTTCCACACTGAAGAAGTCCTGTTCCTTCAGTGATATTTCACTTACATCTGCGGCCTCAGCTTATTTCTCTTCTCGAGGCTTTTTCCACTTGGTTTGTGTTTTTCTTGGAGTGCTCGGAAATGGACATAATCCTCAGAGTCCTTAGAACCACAGGCAGAGTCAAAATTATTTCATGTGCCTTGCATCTGGTACTTGCATTTCATGCATCTCGCTAGGACAGATGAATCTATGCATGTCCTTATTTTTTTTTTCGCTGATATGTGTTGATTTATGTTTGGCTTAAACCCCAGATTCCTTAGCACCTCACCACACAGCGTATCTCCGTGCAGAGCAGCGTTTAACCTCGCTTTCCAAGTCGGTAAGCAGCTGACTGCTCCTACCTGTTTGCTTTATCAAACTGTACATTATTTCACATGAGTTTTGCACTTGCTTCACATGACCTTAGATTCTGAGCCCGTCCATCAAAGTGCTTGCAGTTGTCCCAGCTTTATACCGTCTGTTAACTTAAGCAAACAAACCCGTTCTGTCCTGGTGTTTTATAACACGCAATTTGTTGACAAGGTGTTGTCTGGGAGATGTTCGAGTTGTTTCTTGGAGCCATAAGAAATCAAACTGAGGCAGAGGAGAACACAGAGTTGCCAGCAGAAAGTTCCTTGTTAAATAATCTTTATTTCCTCGAGTTACTTTTTATAGTAGTGGAGACTTAAAAAAGATTAGAGCCACATTAATACACTTGCTACCTATTTTCTCTGACTGAAATAACGATAACTTATCTCTGGGCAGGGCTCCTAGCAATCTCTCAGGACTCCAGCATGTCCTGTATTTGTTCAGTTTATATGACTGTCAATTCAAGTGTCAAAAGTCCCACTAAATCAAAACTATATTGCCTCGAGTTGGCATTTCCCTATCTACATTGCTGCTCTGTCACTGCAGGAACTTATATTCCTTTGGTACGGCTCGTTCTCGAGCGGCGTGTTGGCTCCTAAGTGCTGCGTTATCTGAGGCACGCGGGAGATAGCTGCTTGTCTGATCCTATTCCAGCATCATCCCGGGGACCGGCGGCAAGCCGGGCTGCTCTGCTCTCTTTTCCTGCTGTGTACAGGTAGGTGCTTCTGCCCTTCTTCAGACTTGATGTGGAGAGCAGAGCTGATCTTTGATAACTGCCTTTCTCAGCTTTCAAAGGGTATTTAGTGTTTTGTCTGCCAGCTTTGAGAACCTTCAAGGATTTTTTTTTTAATGCGGTAACCCCTGAATGTAGTCCAGAGGTGAAGTTTCACAAGGAGCCTGCAGGACTGTAGTGCCTTTATTGTGTTTTCGAGTTGAAGTTTACTGATAAATATGCGCAAGATTTTGGGTCCTGGCTCTGCTCTCTTGGCTTGGGAGGTGTGAAGCACTTGCTCGAACGCGTCTCCCAGTTCTAGCTTGTGCTCCTGCTCCTTTCGTGCTGGTAGCAGCTTCGTTAGTCAGCTCCAGCTCATCTCACTTGGACAGATGCAGAAAACACCCCAAGCCCTTTGGCGTTATCTGTTGGAGGTTTCCTTCCTGTAGAGCCGTGGGTTAACGTGCTCCTGCTTTAACTGCTCCCTCTTTCACCACGAGCATCCTGGAGGAATATTTTCCTATTACCTACAGTCTTGCCTCCGTTAGTTTTTTTTCCTAATGCTTTGTTGTTTTTTTTCCTAATGATTTTGTTGTTTGTGCTGTTCACTTCATCACCTTCAGATACTTGGAATAGTGCAAAACGGAGAAAGTGCAAAATCTGTTGAATTTCAAGTCATTAAAGGGCTTATACTTGGTTGAGGTGGCTTGTCAGTACACCTCAGATCTTTCCTTTGGGTTTCAGATAGCTTGTTGTTTTACCTTTAGTTAATTTTCTTTATTTTGCCCTCCTGAAGAATGGCGAGTGGTGCCTTTTTATGCTTTCTGTCACCAAGTTGTTTCTGCTTTCATGTTCTTAGCCAATTCCCCCCCTTTGGTTGGAATAACGCTACAAGAGCCTTCCTTCTATAGCTTTCTTTTCCCACCTCTTGTATAAACAAAGTTAATCTCAAAGTGTTTGAGAACTTGTTGGGCAATGTGTGTCCTGTTTGTTCCTTCTTTTTTTTGACAGATGCCTGCAGTGAAGGTCCCTGCTTCTCTGAAGTGCTGTGCTTTGGCGATCCTGCTGCTCATTCTTCTCCCCTTCCCCGCTTTGTCCATTTAAATCTCTCAGATCTGGGGCTGTGGAGTAGGTACGATGTGTTACAGGACCTATTTTGGCTTCCCATCTCTCTTTTACTGTACCCTAGACCCTGCCAACAAATTCATTCTGCATCTCAGTCAGCGTTTCTTCTTTTCCATCCTTTGCATATGTTCAGGGAGCTTTACGCTGTGTCAGAGCAGCCCGGAGCCTTCCTCCTCCCTGCTGAGTTCCCAGTGGCCGGAGGGGCTGAGGAATGTGGCCGCTGGTGGCGGAGCAGGGGCCGGTGTGCTGATAAGCAGCACGGTGGAGATAAGGGGGAAGCAGATGAGTGCAGGAGGATGAGATCGGACGTGGGGTCTCTGCTGTAAACATCCTTCGAGC